TTATTATTATTATTATTATTGTTGTTGTTGTTGTTGTCGTTGTTGTTGTTGTTGTTGTTGTTGTTGTTGTATTGGCGAACGTCTGATTTTACTGTGTCGTGACGCCAATGTTTCACGCCTCCCTTGAGTCAATTCAGGTCATCTCTGGGCCAAATAGGTTTTAGTAAAAGTTGTACGGCACTTGCAACACAATAAGGTCATATCATAAGTGTCGAAGATTAGAGGTGTTACAAGAGAGTAAAAAAACACAACAAAAGAAGGAGGAGAGATAAGGTCGATAGAAGATGTTTGATAGGAAAGAAAGAGCAAACCACACCAGAGCACATGCCAACCACCCACTCTCGGGGCCAGGCTACTCGACCCTACATGTCAGGGCCAAATTGAGCGGAGAGGGATACGATATCCCCACTGACCGAGGGAGACTTTCATTTTGGTAAATGTTTTGCGACACTTGTAACGCAATTAGGTCATACTGTAAGTGTTGTAGATTAGAGGTGTTACAAGAGAGTAACAAACATGAAAAAAAAAAAACAACTGAAAAATTGTTAATGTATCCCACGGGCTCATAATAATATGACTTTATGCAATGGCGAGAACCGTAAAACATTTATTTAAAAATATAATTTATGAAAATAAAAAAGAAGGAGAGATAAGGACGATAGTTGTTTGATAGGAGAGAAGGAGCAAAGCCCACCAGAGCATCCGCCAATCACTCACTAAATGACCATAATATTATTCTTTCAGTCGGGCAAGGGGCGTTGGACACACACACACACACACACACACACACACACACACACACACACACACACACACACACACACACTGTGCTAAACCTATACATGTGCCGTTTCCTTCGATATCCTCACCTCGATCGATCTCGACCCCGGAGCGTCCAAGGTGGGATATTGCCTATTGTTGGGATTCTGCCTTGACCGTAGCTGTGACCCCCTCCACCCACCTTTCCCCACTGGTCGAGCCCATGTAACGGTTGATATAGCTGGTGCATGGTTCTCTGCTCAAGCTATAATACAGCAGTCATCATCTTCAAAGCAACTTATATCTATTATGTATAATATAATATTAAAGGAGCAATTGAAGTGCGCAACACCGCACAACGGTCCATGTACGTACACCTATATATGGGACTAGATATCTAGGCCTTGCTAGTCCTTTTCAGGTTAGGACTTAGATGGACAACACGAAGTCTGCTAAGTCTAACGTTTTACATGTATCCCCGTTCTTTCTGACAACCAAGCTAGGCTGGAGTTCGAATCTGGGCCAGGCCTTTCGATGCCTTTGCCAGGCTTGCAGACGAACACAAACTTGATGATATAATAATTATATAAATTCCTTAAAATGGAAATTGACATACGCATCGTTTTGAATGAAAAAAAGCAAAAATCAATTTACAACACAACAACAACAATAACCCCCCCCCCCCCAACACTTTCATCTCATGACTTCTGATTTTACTAGGCTATGCAGTTAAATTAATTAGCCTGCTCCAGTAGTATAGCCTATATTATATTGTATTCAACACAAGACCCAAACTGAATGAAACAACGGAACCTTGCTCTCATTTGGGTCGTGACGGGCTACCAGATTGCAGTGATGAGTAGTTAGTTATCAGGGGTCTTCGACAAACCCTTAAACTTCATTTAATAATGAATAATGATATGTGGTGACAACGCTTGGGCATTAAACAAGAATAAAAAGAAAAGAATCATATTGCACTTTTATTTAGTTCATATGATAGGCTAATAATATCAGTCTCACTCTGAAAAATAAAACAAAAACAAATTCGAAACAAAACAAGCCCAAACGAACTGTATAATATTTATTTATTATATTATTGGCTATTGGTCCCGAGATCGAGCCCCGGGTCCGATCGATGATTCAATGCTCACGCACTTCTTCGGAGACCCTGTCGCCAACATGGTCATAGCTCAGCTTCGTTCGTGGGAGTAAATGAAACCTTTTAATTCTTGGGAACAAGGTAATACGAATTGAACAATTCTGAGACAGGAAAGTTTCTCACTTGGATCCCAATTGAACACATATATCTAGATCTAGATCTATTTTTTTTGTCCAAACACTTTAGGCTAAGCAAATCCGATCAAAAAGCAAAGAGACAAAGCATCCAGGTGCTCATGAATATTAATTAGCAGGGTTGACCTAGATAGGCCTAGACCTCGCCAAAGTTGTGGTCCAGTGTTGTCCCGAACCCAACTTTACCCAAGAAACGAGGATCAGCTGCAGTAAGTTTACATGGTTCTTTCCGTTAATGCCCATGATTTACACTGCATTTCAACCCTAAGTAGCCTGTGGGACGTGCTTGTCTTTTTGTTATGCCAAGATTAATAGCAGCTTTTTGTTGCCGCCGTGTCATCGCGGGCTGGATGCCATGATGGTCAACTGCAAAAGCCTGTTTCGACGGCTGTACATGGTCGTTTTCGCCTTTTCAAGGACGTAGTTTTCACAGATAGACGGAAACTAAAGCTTTGATTGAATCTTACAATATAAATAAATTATTATTTACTATTATATATTCAAATTATCGTCGAAATTCTCTCATTGTCGTCGGTCGGACCACGATACGGAGAAACCCTTGAGGCTTGACTTCGGACTCTTCAGTGACATGGAACTGAAAAGAGTCACAGACATGGCGGAGTCTTTTTGGAGGTTGTCTGTGATCCTGTGGGCTTTTATTTCATTCCGAAGATTGTGCCAAAAAATGATCGTGATGCATGTATTTCCTAGCTGTCATGTTGCATTCAGAAGCAAAAGACCATAAGCGCCCACAGAAACTAATGGTGCCACATAGACGGAGACCTTTTTGACAGTGGAGGACTGCCATTCCAGATTCCAGTGAAACTTAGTCCTGAGTCTAAATCTAGAATCTAGATCTAGATTCTAGATCTAGGTCTAGGTATATGGATTCTCGATCCTGTATCCAGAACCTAGATGTCGATATTTGTCACTTCCCTAGCAAGGATTAGATCATTAAATCAAGGTGCACAAGCTGTAATTTGGAGATTTAAAACTACTAAGTCTGGCAGGCCTAGGCCTAACTAGGTAACTAGGGGCCTACTGTACTTCTCCTTCGTGCTACTGCCCAGAGTCCAGCCAGAGTAGAAGAAGGCTGACTGGTTGGACTAGCCTACTGCTGGCATTGAAAATACTGAAAAATAAAGATTGAGCAGGATTAATTTTTTAAAGAGTTTTGATTAGTTTCTGAAATGATAAATAGATCTAGATCTAGATTCTATGTTTATTTTTTATCCAAATCCTTTTGTTTTGTGGGGAATAAAGTTGAACATTAAATAATAATAATAATAATAAATAGCTTTTGTATAGCGCATGTCCCCACTCGAAAGCAAGCTCTATGTGCTTTACGCTATATATTATTACCCGAGCAGTTATAGAACACTCAGAAGCATTCTCAGCTTCTCGGGATGCAAATTTAGTCAGGCACTTTTTCAACTCCCATCTGCAGCGTTTGAATAGAGGAAGAAGTGTTAAAAATGCCTGGTCTTAGTCTTGTATAATTTATGTGTATTATATAAAAAGTATTATTTTCAGGAAATGACAACAGGACTTTTTGATTGTGGCCCTGGAGCCTCTCCCACCGCGAGTGTGGCGAGATTTATAATGTTACAAATTTTTACAGAATTGTAAAGTTTTAGTTTATAAACTATGTTTCGACGACATGCATGATGCGCATAAAATGAAAACAAGGTGTAACTTCGAGGACTCGCAGCTTGCGTTCTCCTGTAGATAATGAGCTTTAGTGTTCTGAAGTTGAGTACAGTTGAAGCCATTCATTGTGCATTTCAAAACAACAAAAACAGATATTTATAATGTGTGTGCCCTCTGTATATGAGACCGGAAAATCAAATTGTTCCGACGCTTCTTGCTTTCAGGAAGTTTTTTATTGCATTGTGGGTGTAATTCTGATTTCTAAATTGGTAAATTTTTACTTATGCACCCACACACAGATGCATTGATTTTAGGCCGGCACTATTTATCCGAACGTTAGGGAAAATAAAGCTGGGCACTATTTCTCCGAACACTGTGAAATCTCATCCTTTCCCGCAAATTTAGGATATTATATAGATCTATAATTATAGTATAGGCCTACCAAAGATTGTTCGTATACAATATGGTTCAATCGGTCCAAAAAATGTCCGCAGTAAATATTTATAAAAAGAAATGCTACAATTCCAAACAGTTTTTCGCTACAGATATGACGTATGTTGCCTTTGAAGGGTGCTGCTCTTTTTACGGAGGGTTATTGATAACGACACATAGAACTGGCATCTGCGTTTGTCACTGCTGCGACCAATGTACTGACACTGGCAAGCCCCTTAATGTGTGTGATTCCATAATTTACATGTAATATCCTGCACTTTTTAAAAAATTACGCACATTTAGGGTTAAAACAGCCAAATCTTCTTCGGACAGGTGGACACACGCCCTTATTAGTTAATGTTTGTTGTTGTTTGTGGGCTGTTCTAATTTTGATTTCTTTCTGTTGTGAAACCTTTCTTTTTCACGTTTTTACACTCATCAAAAAATCTCTAGACTAGCTAGCTCTTGAAAATTGAAATAGATATAGACACAAAAATTTGCCCCTGTGTGTGTGTGTGTGTGTGTGTGTGTGTGTGTGTGTGTGCGTGTGTGAGTGTGTCTGTGTGGTAGTAAGTGGAGAGTGAGGAGTGTATGTGTCTGTTTGTTTTTCGGGCCTTATTTCAAATTTCAGCCTTTATTCAGTAACAGTTCAAAGTATACAAAAATAGAAACACAGGATCCATTCACTCCAGGGCTCATGAGTCGTTCATCTCTTCCAGTTTCACTCATTCATTCAATTCCCGTGTTCTCTCTCACGGCTCATCCCCGTCCGCATGACTTTCATACCCCACCCCCTCCCTCCAGGCACACACAAATAACACCTCACTCATTCCCTTGCACCCTGCGAACCATGGACAATAATACAGGCAAAACACTGCCTGGGCTGCATTTCTTTCGTTCGTGAGCTGTGGACCAGGCCAGGGGGGGTCGGTGTCATCTTGTAGTTGCTGTCACCTGTGGATACACTCACACATTCTTCCTTTCACTTTCACCCGCTCTTTCACTCACACTGTCTCTCCATCCACAGCTCAACTCGTCATAAGTTCAAAAGTTGCCCACTGGTCATGTTTAGATAGTGTGTGTACATGTGCATGATGGTGGTGGGTGTGTGGTGGGTGTTAGTGAAGGCTGTCTGTAGGCGGGCTTGCCATGCGGTATTCCTTCCCAGACCAGAGGGCAGAGGCAGAATGAAAGTTGGCGCCGAACTCTCGCAATAAATAGGCAAAATATCACGAGACCGGAAGCCGGAAACCGTTCGGAGAAATAAAGATCGGCACTATTTCTCCGAACGTTCGGAGAAATAGTCACTTCGTTGATTTTAGGGCTGAACTACCATAATTTTTGCTGTAAACACATGTTATGGCCACTAAAACCCTTGCAAATCAATTGTTTTCAAGTATCAATCCTAATTGCCAAAACATTAAATCATTGTGAAATCCCTGAAACCCCCAGTAGATTCTTTTTAGGTCGGGGGGCACCCCCAAGTTGTTAAAATCTAAATATTACTATTTTCGAACATCAATAACTCAATATTGAATAACTGTTGATTTGCAGCAAAAATGCAGACCAAATATTTGTGTTCAGCATGCGAAATACTACTAGAAAAAAAAGTAATAAAATATGTACATGAGACAGGTGCATAAGTTAACCCCCCCCCCCCCCCACTAAATTAACCAAAAGGATTTGTTGGCTGTCCATAGTGGTCAGATTGTGTAAGCTTCATATTTAATATTTAAAAAGAGCTCTTGTTTTTTTGTAAAGTCTTGTCATTTTTCAAATTGCATATTGTTGACTCTTTTTGTCCATGACTGATTTTTATAAAGTGATATTTGTACAGGTGATTCAATATTATTCAAACCATAACCACGAGTTTATGAAAAAAAAAATTGAAATGATTACAGTCAAACGTATCAAAATGGAATTGTGAGAGAGCCCCCAAAAATTCCATCTTGGACATTTTCTGTCTGCGACAGGAGAATTTAGAGGGAGGGGGGTTCCTGAGGGCTAGCCTGTCCACAGTGGGATAAAGGGTCACCTGTCCGGTCGGCAAGCAGTAGTCAAGGCTTCACACCTCCCAAGTGGTATCCAAGCCTCTTTGATAACAGCATTTGTCATTCTTATTTATTGTTCCTAGTGCATGCATTTCAAAGGGTCACTGTTCGACCAATGAAAAATAGATTTGACCAATTAAAATGGAAAAGGTTGAACTTCTCTTTGCTTCCACCCTTATCACCACCCATTGATGCGATATAAGCAGAATACCAATATAACGTCTGTTTCCAGGTTGAACAGGTTTCTATTTTACAGTGGTAATTGTAGAGAAATTTATTTTTGGGGAAGTCGGGAGATTCCGTTTTGTGCCAGGTTTCCATTAAGGCAGGTTCGACTGTACCTCACTCTGGTATTGTTCCTTGTTGAAGATTTTATCGATGAGATCCTGCAAGATGGTTCCAGTGAGGAAAGAGTCATTTCTCTGTATGAAAATCAGAATGGATAAGATGAAAAAGGGGCATTTTTAGAACAATTTTCAAAGGATGGTAACTGGAATGCATTGCTTAAGTTTAAAAAACTCTCCTGTGCATGGAATGCTTTCCTTGGTATGTGGTGGTGTAAATCTAGCTGTTGATTGAAAAGCTGAGGTACATAATATGTGAGACTTCTGTGTAAGATTCATTCACTCTGTTACAAGCACCCATTCATATTTTTTACCCTTTACTGAGCAAATGCTTTGAGATGTGACTAGCAGAGATTTCTACTTATCATTGCGACTAATCTACTCAAAAAGTTTGTAAAAATTGTTTATAATTGAGGAGGCTATGTTCCATAGATTAATTTTGGTTAAATTTTCCCTCCCCCCAGATGCTGATCATCCGATGGCTGACACGAAATGCCAAAGAACAAACCTACTAAAACCTTTGCATGTGACATTTGTGACTTCAAAGTCAGCAATCGTTACATTTTTAAGCGCCATTTGCACAGATGTCTTTCTATTCATGGCATAGCTTCGAAGTCTTCAACATCTCGCAACCCTATGAGGTTGAAAGGAACAGAAGGACTGCTCACTAAGGATGCATCAGGTCAAAATGACTCATTAAAAGAAGACGGAGAAGGTGAAAAGCTGGAGGATGAGGATGTAGCCTCTGTTTCAAGACTTGATCGAAATGGAAAAGAAGAGGAGAAAACTGAAGGTCTTGAAGGAAGTATTGATGAGGGTAAGTTTGAATTACATTTGAGTGTTTTATTTAGTGACGTACAGACGTGCTTTCTCACAAGTTTTATTCTGAGCATGTAGAGGTGAGAAAAGGCATTACATGGAGCCAGTGGTTAAACTTTGAAGTCTGCATGATCTATTTTTTGTTTGTTTTATAAATCAACGCCAGATTGACTAGTTAGTTGGATGTTATTATTATGATATTGACTTCACATCTCCAGGTTGCATGAATATACTCTGCAAGTGTTAAAAGACCTTTCTCAAGTCTTTTACTGACTGTCATTATTTGCTCTTTGTTTTTTCAGTTGAAGTGTGTTTGTTTAACTTTAAAATGTTGAATATGTAAAAAAGATGATTACTTTTGCATAGATAAAAACTTGTGAAATACTGTGGATTCCACTTCAACCAGAATCTGCGGAACTGCTGTATTTTCTTTGATGTGGCAGAGATCAGTTTAGGGAGGTTGCTCAAATAGAAGCAAAAAAAATCAAGGAGTTTATTTTCTTTCGGTTTACTGGTATTTTCGGATTAACAGTGTTTGGTTTAAGTCGACTTTACTGCAGTTTAATTAGTTCAGTATGTAGTCACCCTAAGCTGAATTTTCTTTCTAAAGATGTTGAGATACTATACTTGTTTCCGTTAACTTTTTTATCTCCGGCATGCCACTCCCAGCGGCTCGCAGTCGGAACCACTGTGCCAGTGAGTCGCTGACAACGGCTCGGGCACATTCCTTTACAACGACTTCGACATCAAATTACTTTTCGTTAGTTGCCGAAAGCAGGTCTCTTTTATCGGGATTTCATTCATTAGATGAACAATCAAAATAGGGTCGCTTGTTTTGATTTACTGACCCATTTAGTGACGTTTTTGTCATTTTTTGATTTGGTACCAAAAAAGGGGCCTTGCGAAGTAGGTTTACCCCCCATGGAGATAAAGAGTTAAGCACTTTTGCAAACACTCGAAATTCAGAAAATGATTTAGGTAATAAGTGCTTCTTTTCAGTTTATAGACTGTTTCTGAACAGATCTGACTTATAAGAAGACATTCAAATCTACGTTTTATGTATCTTTGTGTTCTGTCTTAAGGTTTTTTGCCATGATTGGTTACTGCTGTCGTTACTGGTGAAATTAACGAGTGATTACTGTCAAATTTATGTGAACATATTTTCAGTTTCCCTCATCTCTGAAACTGAAAAATATGGCAACACTGTATCGGACACGAGCCACACAGAAGTCAATGATTCAGAGGTTAAAACTGAGGTGCAGTCCGATAGCCATCCCTATGATCTGAAAGAAAAAACAAACTGCCCTGAACAGAACAATGAAGAGATTTCTATCACACGGACAGAGGGAACTTCAGTACCCATGGAGACTTCAAGAGTCCTGACCTCGAGTACACCAGTAGCACCCTACAGCAGGTGAGACTGGAGGAGTTCTTTACAAAATTTCCTAGTAGTGTTTAGACTACTGCTAAAGTTGTCTAATGCTCAGGCCAGCCTCTTGAAAGTCTACTACTTAACCTGTTATTTTAAACTTTAGATAGTCGAGTGAATCTTCTGCTTTTCAGTTTATGGAAGTTTTTCTCCTCCTCCTCCTCCTCCTTCTCCTCCTCCTCCTCCTCCTCTATATTTGTATTATGATAATCATTAGCATTATTTATTTATTTATGTATTTATTTATTTATTTATTTATTATTTAATTGTTGTTGTTTTTTAAATAAAAATTATCATTAATACTGCCCTGAATCCATAATCGTGTTATCGATAAAAATAGACGGTAACATAAATGATGACACTATAAGGGGGGGGGGGAGATGATGAGAAATGGTAGGGGGAGGGGGGGGGGGCAATTACAGCGAATTATAGGCGATTTCCAGGTTGAGAACCATAGATATGAGGTACATAGAAGCGGAACCAATAAATTGGCTAAAAGATGTTATTAATCCGCATACAGGAAAAAGAGGCTAAAACAGCACCTGGACATGGATGGCTGGTGCCTCTATAAATAAATCATTGATCAGGTCTGGTCAGGAAGCTTTTTTTTTGTAAAATTTATTCAATCATAGTTTGTGTTGTTCATACTTCCATAAATCTGAAATTCTTTTGAGCCTTTTCTTTTTAAAGGTTTTCTCAGCTGATGGTTCGGGGACTTCATTGAGCTGTTTAGATATGGGATTATTTATTAAATTTCGGTTGTAATTAGCGATGAACAAAACTATTTCTACTCAGAATTGGGTATGTGGAAGGCAGAAAATTGGTGATATAAAGACACCCTGAAGACTTTTCTGAAAGATTGCTCCATTATTGTGAATGAGTGGGATACTCTCTGTCTTGACCAATCACAGTGGCATAAAGTGAAGACGTGCGGCAGCAAGATTTTTTAAAAGAAAAACAAAGTTTGTAAAGCAAATGTATTCAGAGATGCAAGAAAATCATGACACTCGTATCATGATATTGATACTGGCCCAACAAACCAGTGGCTCTGTTTGAAAAGTTCTTTAAAAGAATAGCACTTGAGGGTAACAAGTGAAGCCATACGGTTTAACCAACTACCTACATGTTTAAGCAGAGCAGCACACTTTAAGAAAGGGAAAGGTGCCACTATTTGCATTTTTCCATTCTCTCTTTACCATGCTAGTTACCCTGGATGTAAAAGGTCATCGTTAGTTCATAATGGACAAATGATTATTATTATTAAAGGTTGATGCAGGAATCTATTTCCTGTTTGCTTTTGTATTTTGATTTTGCCAATGAAAGTGTGCTGATTTTGTCAAGGACTGTTAATAAACTTCCTTGTGAATAATAACAGTACTCCATGTCTGCTATAATAAAAGAGATTTGAATTGTACTTTTTTTATCTTTCTGTTTCATTGAAAAAGATACATATAGCCCGTAAATTTGTCACCCATATTGCTTTCTCATTGCAGAAAATACAAGTGTGATGAATGCCCATTTGAATGTCGGAGCTCTCGTGAATACCTGTACCATTTGCGAGATGTCCATGGCAACAGGAGACCCATTTATGAGTGTGGCCGTTGTGACTATGCCTCCCGTTTCAATAACAAGGTGGAGAGACACATGTCTGTGCACAAGAAAAAGCTAATGGGTTTACCTCAGATGGAGTGGAAGACAAAGAGGAGCGAGAGACTTCAAAACCAGCTTCAGACGGGCACAAATTTGGAAGGGGATGAAGTAGGTGAAGGAGAGGAAAGCAACCTGCGTGTGAAGCCTCTAAAATTGCTGCGGTTGAATAAGAAGACGCCGTCCCTCTTCCAGGTCTCTGATAAGAGTGAGGGTCAAACTGCAGTGAGTATTGATGGGAAGTGTATCAGATTCTGTTGTATTCTATCATACTGTGGCAGAGATGCCAACCAGTACGATTTTACGTATTTTAGTACGATTTTTTGCTGAAAATACGCGAATACGACTTTTCAGGAAAAAATACGCATCCTGGAATGCGAAAAATACGAGATTGAGTAAACCTATCTCAAGTCCCATCTTTTGTCAAAATAGTATCAGTATCGCAGAACTGGAATATTTGAAAACCAAGTCCAAAGTTGTTAGCAAGTTTATTTTTGCCGGTCGCGATCGTGATATTATATTCGTTCAGCTTCTCCCGGTCCGGAGAGTACGTTTTACTTTCACGCGAATAGGCAGCTATGGCGGCAGGCGGAAGCGTATGTGACACCGAGGCTCGATTGGGAAAATCAAGATCTACTTTCGCTTTCGTTACCATTGAGTAGTTTGCCAGCAGTTGTCTAATAACGCAACTTTTGTGACATGCAGGTTGTGCAGTATAAACGCAAGGTCGCTGTGCAAATAAAATTTAATCAATGCTCGGACTTGCCTCTGTGCTGTCACTTGTGGAAAAAAAAGAAAAGAAAATACAAGCGTAGTCCGATTTTTAGATTGTCTGGCTCGCCATCGTGACCGGTCACTGAACCTGCGCGCATTCGTGTCATAAATAAATGCGGCATCGTGTGAGCAAAGATCGTCTTTGGTGGGAGTAACGGCCTTGCGAAGTATATGACTACGGAATAGGGGAGGAGATTATTGATTTTTTGGGGGTTTAAGATATGGGGGAGGGTGTGATGGCAACACCAGAGGACAAAAACTTGGAAGCACATTTCAAAATTTTGATTAGAGCTTTCTGCAAAGCGCGCGTTGGTGCAGGCCGTGTGCGGAATGGGGACCCTTCAAACTTTGCAAGTCTGTGTTATTGAAATAAAGTGTTCGCGTTTCATTGGATGGGTGATAGTAAATTATACCTAGCCTACAGTGTATGTTGTGGCTTTCTTTTCAAGACTGGTAGATTTTCAGTGTCACTACATCTTGCCCTACCACAGCTATTACAACTCTCACAGTGCATGGGTCTACTTGAGTCATTCAAGTTATCGCTTTTCTCTGAGTTTGAGCAATAATTTGAGTCTGTCAGTTCATAATATGAATCATGACACCCAGACTGGTTCTTGGTTGTCGAAATTTTTGTTCTAGGCTCTTCTGAACTCTCAAAGCAGGATTTATTTTTTACATAATAATGAGAGGAAAATATTAGCGGTATAATAGACTGAAATATTTAAGTCAAACAAGACCCCAGTAGGACACTGAACACTGACATGTTGTTGACTGGATACATGTATATTGTACGCGTATGTGCTCCCTTTTTCGAGCTGGTGAGCTAGTAATTTTTTTTCAGGAAATATTGCTGAACCCCTTTAACATTTTACTATTACTAATCGGTCGGTCGGTCGGTCGTGGGGAATACACATTTCCCCCTGAAAATACACATTTTCATATTTCCCAATACTCATTTCGGTTTTCTGTGGTTGGCATCTCTGCTGTGGTGTAAACTTTCATCATACTCTATACTATCCAAGCTTTGAGATAATCCTCATTTTAAAAAAATTTTCTTTTTCAGGTGCCACTGTGACTGGTCTTTTTTGATATGCCTCTTGGCTTTCTGTTTCTAATAAATTGACCTTTGTAATCTTTTTTTTTTTTGATCAGATTATGCACGAGTGCCTTTATAATGACAGAACATGAATGAGAACTGCATTGGGCTATAGGCATGAAGTGCTTTCAGTAAATATCAATATATATGGCTGTGACAATATTCACTAACTAGTGAAATGTTTTATTTACCATCCAGTCTGCTCAAAATTTATTGGCAAAAAACATTAGACAGTAAGGTTACTTTTATGAGAAAAAAAAACAGGACTGTCCAATACAACTGTCAACCTTTGATATGAAATGTACAATGTCCAGTTTTCTTTTTTTTTTTTTTTCCTCAGAGGAAATCCAAAGAAGTGTTCAAGCTGATACTATCTGAGAATGGGAGTCAATTTTATCAGTGTAGGGACTGCTTGTACTTCTCTCCTCATTCTCACAATGTGAAGAAGCACCATGCTGTCTGTCATAACAAGATGCTTACCTGTCCCCACTGTTCCCTGTTTGCCACAACAGGGCAGGTAAGAGTGTTATTCTGAAGTAACAGACATGGTGGCTACACCCTTTTCTTTTTTATATTAGAAATTTTAGTGCTTTCTTTTTTTTTTTCTCAGACGTAGATGCAAAGTTTAACGATTGATATGTTACAGATGTTTAGATACTGGTGTTTGTTTTCTGAGATGATGAATTTTAGAATTGTTCTCTTCTGTGGACATTGACATTAGACTGGTATATTTATTTTGAAGAATTCAGTGGCCACAGTTATATTATAAGATGGTACAGATGATGCGCTCTAAAGTTACCAGATTCAAATTGTAGCTCTACACCAAGATATGACATGACATACATTTATTTGTTAACGTTTATGACTGATATGCTTGATAAGGGCATGATTTTGTTAGTTTTGAAAGCGAACTTTTGTGGATTTTCCTCCTGTTTCAATGTTATTCAATGTTGACCAGTTTTTCACCAGTTACTGTTGGAATATCTATAAGATTTAGACTGAAAGTAAAGATTTGAGAAGATCCTCTACTTTTGCCTCTTTCACCTCTTTTGCCAGGCTGCTTACTATGAACATCTGCTTACCCATCAAAACCGAGGCTACACCAAATGTCCTGATTGCTCTTATGTCACCAATGCAAAATCCAATTATGAGAAACATCGGTAAGTGTTTGAGTAGGCAGTGTATACAACTCATTGTTGAATAAGCAGAAAGGTTTCAGCCCAAATTTGTCTTTTAGATGTTGTTCAGTTGATGCAGAAAATCATGTCGGCTACGGGCTATGAAACAATGGCGAAAGTTGTTAGCGTGATAACTTTTGGCTTCATCATGACAAAAGTACATTGGCTTAAGAAAAAAAAGAAAAGAATCAGTTTGCTCAAAAAAATACACAAGTGCCTGTCTGCTTAATGTGCAGTGTCTGAGTCTCTTTTGTTTTTCATAATATATGGAAAGGGGATAGGTAGTTTATAAGGTATCTTTTTTCTTCAGGGATTGATAGATTATAAACGTGAAAGAGGATTGAAGAGGAAAAATGATCAGTAAGAGAAAAGATGCAGCACTGAAGTCAGAGAGGTTGTGTTGTGACTTGTGAGGAGCGCCCTACAAATTGGGGAGTATGCTGGGTGGAATAAGCTGAAATTGTGTCCCGTCTTAGAATGGCATGAGAAGTGATAGAGACAGAAATTTATGCTGTTGTGTGATCATAATATGGATACTTCATTTATATTTTGAAAACATTCTCTGTATATATAGCAATGCCAATTGCTTGCTGTGCATCGGGCCGCAAATCACACTGCGCCGGGGTGTAATTTTTGGGCTGTTTTGGATTAGAGGTATTCTAAGTACAGTAGTCTCTGCCTAAGATCCCACTGCGTACGATTCCAGTTTGCTGAAGATCCTGCTGTTTTAAGAAAACATAATTTTTACTACACAAAAGTCACTTCTAAGATTCTGCTATGAAGGATTACATTGGGCCAAGATCCTGCATTTCAGATAATAGTTTGAGGAACAAAAACTCAGCATGGGCGCAGCTGATCAACCAAGTAGCGAAAATTTACGATCAATTTACTGCCCCTTGCATCTCAGATCATCCACTATCACGAGTTCGATCACATCTTTGTGTTGTAAATCTTGATGAAACAGTGCAACGTTTGCTCCAGATGGGATCACACAGAGGTGTGAACTTGTTGACGAGTTTGTTTTCCCCAAATATCGCATTCACATCTATGCTCTCCACTAGAACTTACATCACCAGCTGGATGGGTAGGGCCTACAAGTCCCTTCAGAAGGGATCACATTGAACTGTGAACTCTCAGCCCTTTGGTTTCCCTTTCCATTGCAGCAGTTGTCTATACACCCAAATTTGCTAGACAGACTGAATTTTCACTGGTGCAGTCATAACTGTACAGTGGTGTGTTATTACATTGGGGGGGGGGGGGGGATCAGTGAGAGATGCAAAGCTATACATTTTGGACAGGTAAAGGTGATGAGGAGCAATAGGATCGGCATAGATCTCGAGACTGAGGATTGGATAAGTGACAACTACACGAATCAAGCCATTACGGTTGTATTGGTCATTAATGTTGACCACTCTTTGCTCTCCATAAGTCATAAACCCACCTAAGGGTCATATCAGTACATTCCAGAGTAACAGGATACCATTTCACTGATTGTGGGCATGAACATGAGTCACCATAGATTCTCCCCTTGGTGTTTTGACTAAGATCCTGTTTGCCCAAGATGCTGCATTTTTCTTGCTCCCAAGAATCGGGATCTTAGGTGGAGACAACTGTATAGTTACGGGAATTCCCGTGAGCAAGAATGAATTAAATAGGGCAATCAATTGAAAGGCCAAACATACTTGCTACATGCAAACTTACAATATTGACTTATTTCTAGAACTGGAGAAATTCCCGCGTTTATATGATTTTTCATCCGTTCTTAAAAAAACTAAGTGGAGCTGCTGTGTTTTCGTCGATCAAGCAAGCGCTCCACATTTTGTCTTTAATACTGTCATATTTCAAATCCTTGTGTGTAGTACATTTTACTTACCAACTTGAAATTACAACTCATTCAGTGTACTAGCTTGCATGTTAAAGGTGCGTGATCACCTGTTGGCATGTGATTGGCTGCCTTAAATTAAATAGGTCACAAGAGTCCGCTGTTGGTTTTTTGCTGTTCCGCTTTGCTAAGTTGTAGAAGGGTGATTGTAGAGCTGCACTGATTCTTTATATCATTTCTGTTACAGGTGGAGTAAATTCATTTGATTTCTGACCAGTATATTCAAAATTAAATCAATTTAGTTTTTAAGCAAAAATGTGATGGAAACTTAGTTTTAGTACAAGTAGTAGTTTCATGTAAAGTCTCAGTTAGATAGATTTTAAAGCAAATATTAGTCTTAAAGATCCCAAGTAATAAAGACATTGGAATACTGATAGCAAAATTGGATTGTGCACTAAAAAGCACATTAAGATGCCAAGTTTCATTTATGTACACTCAAATTTGTTCCTGACCTGTGAACAATTTTTTCTCAAAATATGTTGGAATCAGCCTACTGTTAGGCGATTTTTGTCTATATTAACAATCTCAAATATGTTGCAACTGAAAATGTTGATAAATTTTATTCTTTTCATCAATGGATTTTAAATCTTTAAAAACCCACAATGCTCAAGAGTACAAAAGCTTTCATTTAAGTTTCTTTTAAAGAAATTTCAATGAAAATTGAATTTTTCATAATCATTGCTACTTTTTATGTTATTATCATTTTTCATGTTCAATTTAACAGGTCTTTCCATGAGCGGGAATTTCCATTCAAGTGCACGGAATGCAGCTTTGGCTCCGATTCAGAGAGCAAAATAAAACGTCACATGGCAACTCAGCATCGCAATCCCTCTGCAGTTAATGGTGAGTTTTGAGTTGGTGTGTCTTGTCCTTTTTTTTTTTTTTTTTTTTTTTTTTGTGTGTGAAAGAAAGTACCCCCTCAGAACCACCAGTTTATGTTGTACATGCTTAATTGGAGGAGCTACCCTTGAGGACCATTTTCTATGTTTGTTGCCTAAGATGAAATCTAAGTACACATATAAGACAGGCATAGTAAAATCTCTTTATACGCAATTTTATTTTGGCATAGCTACAATGAATTTCAAATCCCTAAGGCTTTCTTATTTACTGACCAAATTTGACGAGAGTATACCTGAACTTTACCCTATCAAAGTAACAGCAAGTTTTTTTCAATAAGTGCAAAAGAAAAAAGAATATGAGAATTTTCCCAAAGTATAAAAAACTTTCTAAATTTAGGTTGCGTAATCGCTCAAATATCTCTCTGCTACATTGATGACAGCCTTGCCACCTATGTTTCCTGAAAGTTTCATTTCAAAAGGACGAAAACTAAGGAAGGAGTTGGGAAAAAACATGTTTTCAAAGGCAATTTACGAGGAGAATAAAATCTTTTTTCAATTGTATCAATGCTATTTTTAGACAAAAAACTGGTTGTCTTAAAAAATCAGCCAACATAAAATTTGCATAGCCTGACCTAAAATCTGCAAAATCAAGGGTAGCTCCTCCCCTTAATATGTCAGTGTTTTCCCTCTGTGTTATCTTCAGTTTTATCACTGCTGATACTATGAGTACAGATTTATGTAAGTGGGTTACCTCGTGAAAATGCTGACCATGAATGTTGGTCTGTGTGAGATGTTTTTTAGATAGGAATTGCGTTGGTCGTACATACACAGTAAAGCTCAGGTTCACCAAAAGGAGCAAAATCCCCTGTTTTTCTTTTTAAAGATAAAAATTAAACACATGCCTCATATCAATCGTACTCCTGTAAAAGCAGCTTCAGATCTGACAAAATAGCTTGCGCTACTAGCAACCCGAACAGACAGGTTTCTGTGCATTTGTCTCCTACAGCACAAAACTCTTCTTCAGTCTCAGCATCCTATGATTGATTTTAACGTTAAAGAGCTGTTATGAGATATATTGTTGCAGTATTGACAAGTTAATTCTTCCCTTAGCTTCTGAACGAAACATGGTAACGTAACTGAGATGTTAAGGAAAATACATGCTTTTGTCAGAAACAGAGGATGTAGTCAGTTTTTCTCTTTTTCAGATTGTATTTCTGTGGCACGCAAGGATCTGACAGAGGATTTGGAGACTGCAGAAGAGGGTGTGGATATTTCTTGGGAAGATATGGATTTAGCAGATGAGGATATGAGTGGCAGTTTGCCAGAGACAGATGTGGACAGTCTTATGCAGCAGGTTTGTTCAGTTTTGCTTTCTGGTAAAATGTTCAACTGGTATCTGTGGTGTTGTGGTTGTGCTCTAGGCAGATGTATGCTGATGTGAGTGTGTTTCCTGAGTGGAGAAGTTTTTTTATGAAGTATCTCCATCTGTCTGCTGAGATTTTGTCTCCCCTTCAGCCCAAGTGTCAGTTGGCTCTCCGAAAGGATTTAAATTATAACGATGCTAACACTAGCAATGTAATAAATCAAATGGACTTTACGTTTTAGTGGCTAACGGTTGTCCATGATTTTATGAAGTTCAGGTAAATATGACTTTTTTTTTTTTGGTGGATGGTTTAGAGGGCGCCTCTTAAAGGCCCTTCTTTTATTTCCTTTTGTTGTTTCTGTCGGTCTTACTTTTTCCCAGGGCTAAATAACTGCTATTGTGTCAATATGCTTGTCTGCCTGCGAACAAAACAATAGTCTTCTTTCTGATCTAGTGTCTCAGCTTGAGTCTGGAGGGTTTAACTGATCCTCTACACGGCTGTTCAGTTTCACTCTCCGAGCGGCGCACTTAGTTGTAGCCCGTCTGACCCTTCTGACCCCTGTGACCCCTCGCGGAAGGTAATAAATCTCGACGCGTTACGCCACTTCCACCGGCCTATCCCTAGATCTGACCGCTCCGCGCGGTAAGGGTACAATTTACAGAAATTAACTGGAATTTACAACATAGTACTCCCTTTCTCCATCCCGTAAACCTAGGAGTGTTGTATACTAAATAAAAGCTCAGCATCTCCTCTATAACCCGCAGTTTGAAACCAGTTTCTATCTCGTTTTCTACTCCCTTGGGATACCTATATACTACCACTGTTGTACAGCTCTGTGTTATTGAAGTTTTTGGATTTAAAAGAGAATTTTGATAATTCGAGCCGACAATTTTTGTTTTAACCTTCATATTTCTTTTTATAAATCTATTCTCTCCATTGTGCTGAAAAAATCTCAGGGTAGGAGCTAAATTTCCATGAACTAGCGCACTTTATGTGACTAGTCTAGTGCAACGCTCACTGCAAAGAAAAACACTGTGAAGCGGGAACTTGCCGTCTGACTTTCTTGTGTGTTTATAATAATAGAGGCTTTTAACATCAAAGATGGAACACTCTTATAACATCCACTTTGAGAATTTAAACAAGTTGTGTCGTACTTGTGGTGAAAGAAGTTTAAAAACTAAAGTTTCTCAGCAGCTTCGATTTTTGTGTAAAAACTTTAAGTTTGACTTATTGCAATATTATAGACTGAACATTGACAACGACACAGCCGACAAGCATTCCAACACTCTGTGCAGGAAATGTGGCTCGCGAATATACACACTAGGGAAGCAAATTACAAATGCGGCTTTGAAGGCCGCACAGAAATGTGTAGACGACAGTGCCTATGTTTGGTCCGCTTACGACGCAAGCATAAGCATTAACGAGTGCTCTGTGTGTGCTCGCTATGTTAAACTTAGCAAAGGGTGCATTAAAGAGCGCATTCCTTTGCTTACGGAAGGACACGAGTTGCGTTCTCCGTCCCCCGCTCGTATGGCAGTGGAGTCTGCGAGCATAACGGATACCCCCACCCCAGATGTTTCCACTGTAAGTACAGGCGATGGTGCTCAGCCCTTTACCACTCAATCCATTGACAGCACATTTACACATACAGACGAAGACTCATTTTACATTTCACCAGAAACTCATATTTTGACATCCACACCTAAAACGAAGACGAAACAGTTCACAGACAGTACCAGCTCCCCATTAGTCAAACATGAAACGACAATAGAGTCAACACTTTGGAAATCTGACACAGAGCCACTCACACCGTTAGAAGAAAAAGTTGCTACACATCTGATCAGACGAAAGCTTAACACATCTCAGACGAAAGGACAGTTGAGGTTCAAAACAAAAGGACAGCCATTAGTGTTTCAGAGGATAGTCACACACAGAATATCATCTGACTTAGCAAGCTCACCGACAAGAAAGCGAAGAACAAATATTATTAACAAAGTCAGGCAGTCGGTTGCTGGTAGAAGTAAAAGTGACATAGAAATGCAGCATGCGTCTGACCTAAAGAGACAGGAAAAGTCAGACGCAATATTTTACACAAAAGTGGGACGCGGGAAAAAGTAGTAATAGGGGCAAAGTTTGCTCTTGCCATGAAAGAAGCCCTGGGGTTGACATGGCATCAGGATAGACAGAGGCGTAAATTGTGGAGGAATGTTGGTGTCTGTATTCCGAGTGAACACCAGGAACATCTATGAAGACATTGTTTCAGGTAGTGTAGAAATAGAGAAAATCAAAGTCCACTCTGAGGCGGGAACAAGCAGCTCGCCAGAGGAACCACTGGCCACTGTCCCCGACCTTCAAGAATTTATCTTCCGTCTCATAGATCAGTATGAAAAAGATGGGAAACTGACGTGGCACAATGGCGGCATTCCTAGCGACCAAATGTGGATCAAATTTGGTGGCGATCATGGGAGAGGAAGTCTAAAGATTTCCACACAGATAGTAAACATAGAAAAACCAAACTCTAAAGAGAACACCCATGTCATTGCCATGGTGAAAATGAAGGACACCTATGAAGTTTTGGATGCTGTCTTATCCAAACTTCGTGAAGGAATTTCGAATCTCCAAGATTGCAAATGGAGAGAGAAACAAATAGTAGTGTTCTTGTTTGGTGATTACGATTTTTTTTGCAAAATCTATGGCTTGTCGGGACCCAGGGGAACATATCCATGCCTGTGGTGCCTCACAACTTCAGACGATATGAAGAAAGGAAAAGGTCCAGCTGAAGAGCGGACCCTTTCGATGATAAAGAGAGACTGCAGGCGATTTTTTAAATATGGAAAAGGAAACTTGGCCAATGCTAAGCGATTTCATAACTGTGTTAGGGAACCTCTCCTGGACATTCAAACCAGACACGTTGTTCCTCCGTATCTGCACATATTGTTAGGAATCACATTGAAACATCACAACCTGCTTGAGGCAGCCACACATGATCTCGATGTAATGCTGGCTCAGACCTTTGCTGAATCAGCCACACAAAGCAGGCAGACATCTCCTGCCTTTGATGAGTATGTCAAAATGTTAATTGATAAAAAGAGTTTAGACGAAAAGTTGAATTATTATGAAGGCTGTCTCGCATTTTCTGGAACAGAAGGAGACAGAAACAAGTATCGAAAGTGGGTGGAGAAATGTGAGAATGAAATTCATCAGTTCAAAATCATTCCACTCGCTCAAGGGACAGGCCCAGTGACAAGTAGCTTACAGAAAGTGTTAGAAATTCATGGGATAGTCCCACAGGCTTATCACAGCAGATCGTTTATCGGCAACCACTGCCACAAATACATGCAAGAAACTGTTTACACTAATATCAGCAAACACATTCACCAGTTCACAGTAAGTCTAACATCTGACCAACGCATAGTAGACAAAGCTCAGGAAATAAGAGAGAAATTCAATGCACTCAACAGTAGTTTTTCCAGAATTCACCGCGCCATCTCTCACACAAATATTGTACACCCGTCAGAACACATTTCCATTAGCGCAGACATCGATTCATATCTAAAATTATTCCGCAAGTTATTTCCTCACACAGTGACACCAAAAATACACATGCTAGAGCGCCATTGCCTGCCATTTATGAAAGCCTGGGGCTTTGGCCT